AAATTATTTGCATTCTTTCTCGGTCCACGGCAGGATTCGAACCTGCACACACTGCATCTTGAGTGGCTTAAGTACAGGCGCTCCTCAACTTACAATAGGATTATGTTTCGACAAACACATCGTAAGTTGAAAATATCATAAGTCAATAAATAACAAAAAAGGCACAATACCGTGACTGGAACGATACACAAATAACCCGCACATAAAAGAGAGAAGCTTACGACGACGTTTCGGTCCGACTTGGACCATTGACAGAGTCACAGTGTGACTCTGTCAATGGTCCAAGTCGGACCGAAACGTCGTCGTAAGCTTCTCTCTTTTATGTGCGGGTTATTTGTGTATCATAAGTCAAATATGAATATATGATAAATAAGTAAATAAGTAACTATTCTCACTGAATAAGTAAATAAACAAATAATTACTGTAACTAAATACCAGTATTGAAAAGTAAATGAATACAATTTATGGATATACTGCTTTCATGTTGAGTAATTACCTCAATGTTCATCACCAAAGTAATTGCTGCCGCACCATCGAAAAGTCGAAACACAGTTTGTATGCTACACACGGGAAATATAATTTTGATTTGCTTTGAAGTTGAACCACTGTAAATCACGGAGCACCTAAACACAACCCGCACTTTTGATGACCCACGAATATTTGGATGAGGTGATTATGGGAATATTCAGAGTCAAAAATGTTTTGGTGTGATACTATGAAAAAAAATAAATACAGTGAAAGAACACTCTTTAAAATTCTCTCAGAAATTTTACCAACTGCTCATAAATGAGACACTTGTGCAATATTAGGGTATCTTTATTCTGGAAACGTTTTGCAAGCCAGTGGCCTCTTCAGTCCAATGCAGAGAGGATGGGAGATGAGGAGGAGTTTGAGGTAAACAGTCCCCCAGCGTGGAGTAAATGGTATTGTGGGTCGGGTGTTGTTCCAGAAATGGTATTGTGGGTTGGCTGTTGTCCCAGAAATGGTGTTGTGGGTTGGGTGTTGTTCCAGCCATGGTGTTGTGGGTCGGGTGTTGTTCCAGCCATGGTATTGTTGGTCAAGTGTTGTTCCAGCCATGGTATTGTGGGTTGGCTGTTGTTCCAGCCATGGTATCGTGGGTTGGGTGTTGTTCCAGCCATGGTGTTGTGGGTCGGGTGTTGTTCCAGCCATGGTATTGCTGGTCAAGTGTTGCTCCAACTATGGTACTGTGGGTTGGCTGTTGTTCCAGCCATGGTACTGTGGGTTGGGTGTTGTTCCAGCCATGGTATTGTGGGTTGGGTGTTGTTCCAGCCATGGTGTTGTGGGTCGGATGTTGTTCCAGCCATGGTATTATGGGTTGGCTGTTGTTCCAGCCATGGTATTGAGGGTTGGGTGTTGTTCCAGCCATGGTGTTGTGGGTCGGGTGTTGTTCCAGCCATGGTATTAGGGTTGGCTGTTGTTCCAGCCATGGTATTGTGGGTTGGCTGTTGTTCCAGCCATGGTATTGTGGGTTGGGTGTTGTTCCAGCCATGGTATTGTTGGTCAAGTGTTGTTCCAGCCATGGTATTGTGGGTTGGCTGTTGTTCCAGCCATGGTATTGTGGGTTGGGTGTTGTTCCAGCCATGGTGTTGTGGGTCGGATGTTGTTCCAGCCATGGTATTATGGGTTGGCTGTTGTTCCAGCCATGGTATTGTGGGTTGGCTGTTGTCCCAGCCATGGTGTTGTGGGTTGGCTGTTGTCCCAGCCATGGTATTGTTGGTCAAGTGTTGTTCCAGCCATGGTATTATGGGTTGGCTGTTGTTCCAGCCATGGTATTGTGAGTTGGCTGTTGTCCCAGCCATGGTGTTGTGGGTTGGCTGTTGTCCCAGCCATGGTATTGTTGGTCAAGTGTTGTTCCAGCCATGGTGTTGTGGGTTGGCTGTTGTCCCAGCCATGGTATTGTGGGTTGGCTGTTGTCCCAGCCATGGTGTTGTGGGTTGGCTGTTGTCCCAGCCATGGTATTGTTGGTCAAGTGTTGTCCCAGCCATGGTGTTGTGGGTTGGCTGTTGTCCCAGCCATGGTATTGTGGGTCAAGTGTTGTTCCAGCTATGGTATTGTGGGTTGGCTGTTGTTCCAGCCATGGTATTGTGGGTTGGCTGTTGTTCCAGCCATGGTATTGTGGGTTGGCTGTTGTTCCAGCCATGGTATTGTGGGTCGAGTGCTGTTCCAGCCATGGTATTGTGGGTCAAGTGTTGTTCCAGCCATGGTATTGTGGGTCGAGTGTTGTTCCAGCCATGGTATTGTGGGTCAAGTGTTGTTCCAGCCATGGTATTGTGGGTTGGCTGTTGTTCCAGCCATGGTATTGTGGGTCGAGTGCTGTTCCAGCCTTGGTATTGTGGGTCGAGTGTTGTTCCAGCCATGGTATTGTGGGTCAAGTGTTGTTCCAGCCATGGTATTGTGAGTCAAGTGTTGTTCCAGCCATGGTATTGTGGGTCAAGTGTTGTTCCAGCCATGGTATTATGGGTCAAGTGTTGTTCCAGCCATGGTATTGTGGGTCAAGTGTTGTTCCAGCCGTGGTATTGTGGGTCTAGTGTTGTTCCAGCCATGGTATTGTGGGTCAAGTGTTGTTCCAGCCATGGTATTGTGGGTCAAGTGTTGTTCCAGCCATGGTATTGTGAGTCAAGTGTTGTTCCAGCCATGGTATTGTGGGTCTAGTGTTGTTCCAGCCATGGTATTGTGGGTCTAGTGTTGTCCCAGCCATGGTATTGTGGGTCAAGTGTTGTTCCAGCCATGGTATTGTGGGTCGAGTGTTGTTCCAGCCATGGTATTGTGGGTCTAGTGTTGTTCCAGCCATGGTATTGTGGGTCAAGTGTTGTTCCAGCCATGGTATTGTGGGTCAAGTGTTGTTCCAGCCATGGTATTGTGGGTCTAGTGTTGTTCCAGCCATGGTATTGTGAGTCAAGTGTTGTTCCAGCCATGGTATTGTGGGTCTAGTGTTGTTCCAGCCATGGTATTGTGGGTCTAGTGTTGTTCCAGCCATGGTATTGTGGGTCTAGTGTTGTTCCAGCCATGGTATTGTGGGTCAAGTGTTGTTCCAGCCATGGTATTGTGAGTCGTGTTGTTCCAGCCATGGTATTGTGGGTCTAGTGTTGTTGCAGCCATGGTGTTGTGAGTCGTGTTGTTCCAGCCATGGTATTGTGGGTCTAGTGTTGTTCCAGCCATGGTATTGTGGGTCAAGTGTTGTTCCAGCCATGGTATTGTGGGTCAAGTGTTGTTCCAGCCATGGTATTGTGGGTCTAGTGTTGTTCCAGCCATGGTATTGTGGGTCGAGTGTTGTTCCAGCCATGGTATTGTGGGTCGAGTGTTGTTCCAGCCATGGTATTGTGGGTCTGATACTACACAAATAAATACAGTGGTACCCCGAAATTCGTCCTTAATTCGTTCCAGAAGGCTGTTCGAGTGCCGTTACTGAACGATTTTGTTCCCATAAGGAATAACATAAATTAAATTAGTCCTTTTCAGACCCCAAAAATACACTTACAAAAGCACTTACAAAAATACACTTACATAATTGTTGATGTTGGGAGCTGTTCGAAATTCGACGTACCACTGTATATACCAACAGTTCACGAATATACAAAACTCATCACTACTCACCATAGGCTGTCCAATTTTCGTACTCTTCTGGGATTTTATAGGCCTATCGGTCTTGCGTTTAAAGCGCGTGTCAATTTCATCTGGCGATTCAAAGTCAGCAAGCTTCGAAGATTTCTTTCTCACCCGACCGGAGCGAGACACTCCTTCAAAAATACAACAACGGTAAACAACAAACTTGTGCTTCGAAATTAATCAAATTATTAAATTTTTAGCCAAATCAGAAATAGATTCAACCCCCCCCAAAAAATACAAATTTTTGGCATGATATTTCTTTAATAGCATTCTATAATTTTTGTTATTATTATTATTATTATTATTATTATTATTATTATTATTATTATTACAATTATTATTACAATTATTACTATTATTATTATTAAATTATTATTAAATTATTATTAAATTATTATTAATTATTATTATTATTATTATTATTATTATTATTATTATTATTATTATTATTATTATTATTATTATTATTATTATTATTACGATTATTACTATTATTATTATTAAATTATTAAATTATTATTATTATTATTATTATTATTATTATTATTATTATTATTATTATTAAATTATTATTATTATTATTATTATTATTATTATTAATCATTATTATTAAATTATTATTAATTATCATTATTATTATTATTAAATTATTATATTATAAATTATTATTAAATTAATACTGAAGCACTAAACCCACTAGGGCCAAGTAGCACTTAGATAAAAGGGGAATAAGGGTTTGATCCAAGGAGGAGGAGAGCTCCATTTCCACGGATCAAAAGCTCTTTACCAGGATCAAACTGTCTCCCTTGAGGCTCCATTATCATTATTAATAAATTTATAGTGAAGCACCAAACCCACAGGGGCTGAGTAGCACCTGGATAAAAGGGGAATAACAGAGGTTTGATCCAAGGGGTGAGGAGAGCTGCAGCACCTTGGATCAAGAGCTCTGGAGCAACAATAAAGGATCACCAGGATGACAAAGGGACGTAAGACACAACAATGTTAATTTTCTTACATAAATCATCATTATTCCGCCGTAAATAATCATTATAATTATTATCATCACCTACAAGCCCGCGATAAACCCGTACGGGCTACCCAGCTCCGACAAAAGTAATAAAAAACATCAATATATGACAGAACAAGTGTGGGGGATCAACACCTGCCAAGACTCGTCAGTTTTCACACTAATATCTCCACTAAAACACCTGAAAAACGCCTCAAAAATACCTGTGGCTTCTCCAGACTTGTTCTTGGGCGACGTCTCCATCTCCCCCGTCCAAAAAAGACGCCAAAAAACGGCCAAAAACCCAGAAAAATAAGAGCCAGGAGGGTCCCGTCCTGCCCTAAACTGGTGTTGTTGTTGTTGTTGCTTGAAGGGCCACTCAGAATGACGCCGTTCACCCTTATTTTGTCCTTATTTTGGGTTTTTTTGACATGATATTCACTCTTAGATGCATTCCATTGTGTCCAGGGGGGTGTATTGATGATAAACACACATATCAAGGGCTATAATGGGTGTAACTAAGGGTGTAAAATGGAAATAAGTCACTTTTTTGGGGGTTGTCATTATCCTCCAAAAATTAGTCTTTCAGTGTTTTCTGAAAATATTAATAATTATACTTAATTTTGACATGATATATGGTTGTACAGAGGAATATAATACACCAGGAGGCAGCTCTGATGAAAACTCACACTCACACGAGCTTTTAAATCTCTGCACAAAATTCAATTTAAACCAGCAAATAATAGAGCCTACAAGACTGGAGAATACACTAGACCTCATCTTCACTAACAATGATGATCTGATAAGAAATGTCACCATATCAAAAACAATATACTCAGATCACAACATAATTGAGGTTCAGACATGTATGCATGGAGCCCCAGACCGACAAAATGAGACTAGTCACGAGGGAGCATTCACCAAATTCAACTTCAATAACAAAAACATAAAGTGGGACCAAGTAAACCAAGTCCTAACCGATATAAGCTGGGAAGATATACTAAGCAACACAGACCCAAACTTATGCCTAGAACAGATTAACTCGGTGGCACTCGATGTATGCACAAGGCTTATTCCTCTAAGAAAAAGGAGGAGTAGATGTAAAATAGAAAGAGACAGGCGCTCCCTTTACAGGCGACGGAAAAGAATAACAGAGCGGCTAAAAGAGGTCAATATATCTGAAATGCGCAGGAGACACTGGTCAGAGAAATAGCAAGCATCGAACTTAAGCTAAAAGAATCCTTTAGGAGTCAGGAATCGCGGGAAGAACTAAAAGCCATAAATGAAATCGAAAGAAACCCAAAGTATTTCTTCTCCTATGCCAAATCAAAATCGAGAACAACGTCCAGTATTGGGCCCCTACTTAAACAAGATGGTCCTACACAGATGACAGCAAGGAAATGAGTGAGCTACTCAAGTCCCAATATGACTCAGTTTTTAGCAAGCCGCTAACCAGACTGAGAGTCGAAGACCAAAATGAATTTTTTATGAGAGAGCCACAAAATTTGACTAACACAAGCCTATCCGATGTTATCCTGACCCAAATGACTTCGAACAGGCGATAAATGACATGCCCATGCACTCTGCCCCAGGGCCAGACTCAGGGAACTCTGTGTTCATCAAGAACTGCAAGAAGCCCCTATCACGAGCCTTTTCCATCCTATGGAGAGGGAGCATGGACACGGGGGTCGTCCCTCAGTTACTAAAAACAACAGACATAGCCCCACTCCACAAAGGGGGCAGTAAAGCAACAGCAAAGAACTACAGACCAATAGCACTAACATCCCATATCATAAAAATCTTTGAAAGGGTCCTAAGAAGCAAGATCACCACCCATCTAGAAACCCATCAGTTACACAACCCAGGGCAACATGGGTTTAGAACAGGTCACTCCTGTCTGTCTCAGCTACTGGACCACTATGACAAGGTCCTAAATGCACTAGAAGACAAAAAGAATGCAGATGTAATATATACAGACTTTGCAAAAGCCTTCGACAAGTGTGACCATGGCGTAATAGCGCACAAAATGCGCGCTAAAGGAATAACAGGAAAAGTCGGTCGATGGATCTATAATTTCCTCACTAACAGAACACAGAGAGTAGTCGTCAACAGAGTAAAGTCCGAGGCAGCTACGGTGAAAAGCTCTGTCCCACAAGGCACAGTACTAGCTCCCATCTTGTTCCTCATCCTCATATCCGACATAGACAAGGATGTCAGCCACAGCACCGTGTCTTCCTTTGCAGATGACACCCGAATCTGCATGACAGTGTCTTCCATTGCAGACACTGAAAGGCTCCAGGCGGACATCAACCAAATCTTTCAGTGGGCTGCAGAAAACAATATGAAGTTCAACGATGAGAAATTTCAATTACTCAGATATGGTAAACATGAGGAAATTAAATCTTCATCAGAGTACAAAACAAATTCTGGCCACAAAATAGAGCGAAACACCAACGTCAAAGACCTAGGAGTGATTATGTCGGAGGATCTCACCTTCAAGGACCATAACATTGTATCAATCGCATCTGCTAGAAAAATGACAGGATGGATAATGAGAACCTTCAAAACTAGGGAGGCCAAGCCCATGATGACACTCTTCGGGTCACTTGTTCTATCTAGCTGGAATATTGCTGCACTCTAACAGCACCTTTCAAGGCAGGTGAAATTGCCGACCTAGAAAATGTACAGAGAACTTTCACGGCGCGCATAACGGAGATAAAACACCTCAATTACTGGAGCGCTTGAGGTTTCTAAACCTGTATTCCCTGGAACGCAGGAGGGAGAGATACATGATTATATACACCTGGAAAATCCTAGAGGGACTAGTACCAAACTTGCACACGAAAATCACTCACTACGAAAGCAAAAGACTTGGCAGACGATGCACCATCCCCCCAATGAAAAGCAGGGTGTCACTAGCACGTTAAGAGACCATACAATAAGTGTCAGGGGCCCGAGACTGTTCAACTGCCTCCCAGCACACATAAGGGGGATTACCAACAGACCCCTGGCAGTCTTCAAGCTGGCACTGGACAAGCAACTAAAGTCAGTTCCTGATCAGCCGGGCTGTGGCTCGTACGTTGGTTTGCGTGCAGCCAGCAGCAACAGCCTGGTTGATCAGGCGCTGATCCACCAGGAGGCCTGGTCACAGACCGGGCCGCGGGGGCGTTGACCCCCGAAACTCTCTCCAGGTAAACTCCAGGTAAACATGGGTGTACATGCCAAAAACCCCTTTGTATGCCAAGCTCTCTGTCTCCATGTATTGTCTGTAACGGCTTGATAAAGCTCTCTGTGTCTATGTATTGTTTGTAACGGCTGGATAAAGCCCTCTGTGTCTATGTATTGTTTGTAACGGCTTGATAAAGCCCTCTATGTCTATATATTGTTTGTAACGGCTTGATAAAGCTCTCTGTGTCTATGTATTGTTTGTAACGGCTTGATAAAGCCCTCTATGTCTATGTATTGTTTGTAACGGCTGGATAAAGCCCTCTGTGTCTATGTATTGTTTGTAACGGCTTGATAAAGCCCTCTATGTCTATGTATTGTTTGTAACGGCTTGATAAAGCTCTCTGTGTCTATGTATTGTTTGTAACGGCTTGATAAAGCCCTCTATGTCTATGTATTGTTTGTAACGGCTGGATAAAGCCCTCTGTGTCTAAGTATTGTTTGTAACGGCTTGATAAAGCCCTCTATGTCTATGTATTGTTTGTAACGGCTTGATAAAGCTCTCTGTGTCTATGTATTGTTTGTAACGGCTTGATAAAGTCCTCTATGTCTATGTATTGTTTGTAACGGCTGGATAAAGCTCTCTGTGTCTAGTATTGTTTGTACGGCTGGATAAAGCTCTCTGTGTCTATGTATTGCTTGTAACGGCTTGATAAAGCCCTCTGTGTCTATGTATTGTCTGTAACGGCTTGATAAAGCTCTCTGTGTCTATGTATTGTCTGTAACGGCTGGATAAAGCTCTCTGTGTCTATGTATTGTTTGTAACGGCTGGATAAAGCTCTCTGTGTCTATGTATTGTTTGTAACGGCTTGATAAAGCCCTCTGTGTCTATGTATTGTTTGTAACGGCTGGATAAAGCCCTCTGTGTCTATGTATTGTTTGTAGCGGCTTGATAAAGCCCTCTATGTCTATGTATTGTTTGTAACGGCTTGATAAAGCTCTCTGTGTCTATGTATTGTTTGTAACGGCTTGATAAAGCCCTCTATGTCTATGTATTGTTTGTAACGGCTGGATAAAGCTCTCTGTGTCTATGTATTGTTTGTAACGGCTGGATAAAGCTCTCTGTGTCTATGTATTGTTTGTAACGGCTTGATAAAGCCCTCTGTGTCTATGTATTGTCTGTAACGGCTTGATAAAGCTCTCTGTGTCTATGTATTGTCTGTAACGGCTGGATAAAGCTCTCTGTGTCTATGTATTGTTTGTAACGGCTGGATAAAGCTCTCTGTGTCTATGTATTGTTTGTAACGGCTTGATAAAGCCCTCTGTGTCTATGTATTGTTTGTAACGGCTGGATAAAGCTCTCTGTGTCTATGTATTGTTTGTAACGGCTTGATAAAGCTCTCTGTGTCTATGTATTGTTTGTAACGGCTTGATAAAGCTCTCTGTGTCTATGTATTGTTTGTAACGGCTTGATAAAGCTCTCTGTGTCTATGTATTGTTTGTAACGGCTTGATAAAGCTCTCTGTGTCTATGTATTGTTTGTAACGGCTTGATAAAGCTCTCTGTCTCCATGTATTGTTTGTAACGGCTTGATAAAGCCCTCTGTGTCTATGTATTGTTTGTAACGGCTTGATAAAGCCCTCTGTGTCTATGTATTGTTTGTAACGGCTTGATAAAGCCCTCTGTGTCTATGTATTGTTTGTAACGGCTTGATAAAGCCCTCTGTGTCTATGTATTGTTTGTAACGGCTTGATAAAGCCCTCTGTGTCTATGTATTGTTTGTAACGGCTGGATAAAGCCCTCTGTGTCTATGTATTGTTTGTAACGGCTTGATAAAGCTCTCTGTGTCTATGTATTGTTTGTAACGGCTTGATAAAGCCCTCTGTGTCTATGTATTGTTTGTAACGGCTTGATAAAGCCCTCTGTGTCTATGTATTGTTTGTAACGGCTTGATAAAGCCCTCTGTGTCTATGTATTGTTTGTAACGGCTGGATAAAGCCCTCTGTGTCTATGTATTGTTTGTAACGGCTTGATAAAGCTCTCTGTGTCTATGTATTGTTTGTAACGGCTTGATGAAGCTCTCTGTGTCTATGTATTGTTTGTAACGGCTGGATAAAGCCCTCTGTGTCTATGTATTGTTTGTAACGGCTGGATAAAGCCCTCTTGTGTTGGGCGGGATTTAGAACAGAAGAATCAGGTGGC